CACACACACACACACACACACACACACACACACACACACACACACACACACATGCACGCACATGCACGTGCGCAAGGGCGCGACTCCCACATACAACAGTAATAGGCACAAGAACAACAGTGCATACTCGCCGCACCTTCTGCCCTCCAGGTACGGAATTGGAAGGATAGGCATAAATAGAAGGCAGCAAAACCAGCGATGAAATGGGAAGATAGGGAAGGGACACACGAGATATGGGGAATGAGAAAGCCAGAGGTTGAGAAGAGAGCCGGCAAGGAAGATCGAATCACCTGAAAGCCTACGAGGCCGGCGAGGAAGACAGCACCGGCGGCTCCAGTCTGGGCAAGGAATGGAAGAGCGGGCGACGTTATCTCAGCACCATACGCTCCAACTCTGGCCACCGCAGTCTGGCATTGTGAAGCCGCGTCCACCCATGCATCTCGTCTCATCGCCATCGCCGCTCACAAGATCGCCCCCCGATCCCAATCGGAATCTCCGCCCGATCAGTCGTCACACGAGTCCAAACAAACTCAACACCACCTGACCATCTCTATTACAAGCCACATAGTGCGGATTCCCTGGTCCTACAATTCCCTCCCTCTCTCCCCCCCCCTCTCTCTCTCTCTCTCTCTCTCTCTCTCTCTCTGTGTGTGTGTGTATTAGATAACGACGACTCCACAGAAAAGGGGCGAGTGTGACACCGTGTGTGTGATGCGATGCGGTGCGGTGCGGTGTCTAACCAATTGTCCCCGCCCGCACATGGATCTGGTGCCACCGCGACACCGGCGAATGGCGCGAGTCGTCACCAGCCCTGGTACCCGTTGTTGGTTCAAGTCCTCCGGCGCCTGCTTTGTAACAGGTCGCGCCATTCGCCGTGGGCAATCATGTCCAAATGTTTCGAAATATGACCATGAAACTCATCAGGTGCGGTGAATCGCGCGGGCCTTCGTAGTTTAGTTGAAAGGCTCCCAGCGACGAAAAAAGTTTCACGCGAGCGCGATGAGTCGATAACACCGCTCAATGTTTTGCGCGGGTGAATAAACGCAGTTTGCGACGGTGCTTGCTGATCCTTTACCTCGAGGAAAGAACTCCAAGTTTGCCACCGCGGAAAATGGGATGTCCGAAGGATGGAACCGGGGGCAAGGTCCCATTTGCACGGATTACGAGATTCTGACCGTTGATCTGTGCTATCTACGGTCAATATCTCTTAATTCGTGTAAGTGGGACCTAGCCCCGGGCCAGCGCTCCGGGAGTCGGCGGCGCTAATTTTTGCGTCGGTGCTAATTTTTGCTTCAGCTCTAATTTCCGCGCTAACACTGCTGCCGGCATGGCGGTAACCGGGGGCGAGGTCCCATTAAACCACCAGTACCTCGCCCAGCTATAAAAAAAAGTCGTGGCGGTTAACACGCCGCAACTTTAGGGGTTCGGGAGAGGCTTGGCATGGCAACGGGGCAGGAAGCTGGTGGCCCCATGGGAACCTCCCACAAGGACTGCAAGATGTCCTTGTGGTATACAATGTGGAAACGCGCGGGCAGTGGCAGGAAAGAGGGAAAAGAAGACAAAAAAGAAAATGGACGTGGAAAAAAAAAAAGAGATCATTGCTTTTCTTTTTTTTCTTTTTTTTCTTTTCTGAATAATGTATTTGGCTTCACTTCTGCACGGCGTCATATGAATCTGAGGGCAATCACGTTCAGATGCTGGTTTCTCGTTTCCCACTTTTTTTTTCTTTTTTTTTTTTGGTGAAAAAGATTTTTGGTTGTTTGTGCACTTGCTCCCCGTGACAGACGGGGAGCATTCATTGCCTCAGCTCCCAGAGAGACTGTAACGTTGTAAATTCGAATCACGTATCTGGCTTCACTTCTGCATGAAGTGGGATGAATCTTAGGGCAACGACGTTCAGATGCAGGCTTCTCGTTTCCCCCTGTTTTTTTTGTTTTTTTTTTTAGCCTCAGCTCCCAGAGAGATTGTAACGTTGCATGTATCTGGCTTCACTTCTGCACGAAGTGGGATGAACCTTAGGGCAATCACGTTCGAATGTCGGTTCCCCCTTCTTTTTTTTTTTCTTTTTTTTTTGAAGAACTTCGAAGAAGATCGTTGGCTGTTTGTGCACTTGCTCCCCGTGACAGACGGGGAGCATTCATTGCCTCAGCTCCCAGAGAGACTGTAACATTGCAAAGTCGAATAATGTACCTGGCTTCACTTCTGGACGAAGTCGTATGAATCTTAGGGCAATCACGCTCAGATGCAGGTTTTCTATTTTCCCTTTCCCCTTTCTCCCCCCCCTTTTTTTTTTTTTTTGAATAAAATCTTTCACGGGAGCCTTCTGCACGAAGTGGAAACAAGAAAACGAAGGTCTGTTTGTGTTCCATCGGCTGGCAGCAGGTCCAGCAGAAGGGGCGGTACCTGCTTGCAACAGCAGACGTCCCATATTTTTTCCACTCCCCGCAGGCTCGACAAAAATCGGCATGCAGGCAAAAATGAGGATCGGTCCTCAACAACCGGTAGGTACTGGTGGTTTAACAAAGAGGATTGGATTGAGCTCCTGAACCTGGACGTGTTGTAAGCAGAGATGCAGAAAAACAATTCAATCTCGAATTTCTGCACCTCTCCAGGAAAAGGTCTAGATTCAGGCGTTCAATCCAATCCTTGTTGCTAGGTAGTGGGACCCCGCCCCAACTGGGTTTGGCTTCTCTCGCCATATGGTCTGGTCCCACCACTACACTACGACTGTGGTCGCGAATAAGCACTGGGACCGCGCGAGGCGCGGGGGTGCAGCCAGGGAATTTCAAATTGTGGCTTCGGGGGCTGCATGGATGATTATGCGAGGCAACTTATTTTATTTTAGAATACATTATATCTATGTAGATGTCGGGATGTTGGGAAGGGGAGCGACGAATGAATCTTAGAGTATCTGATAGCAATTTTGTTCATAGCTTAGTGCATTTGGTGGTGCTGACGTCTAAAATTTAGTAGAAAAACGGTTTGTTGAGGTAGCTTAAGCTTGATTGAGGACATTGTTGTATTATATAGCAATGTATATGCAGTTAGATGCCTTTTAGAGTGAATACAGTTTCCATTAGAGTTTGTGATGAGAATTGTGTTCATTCTAAAAGACATTTAATTGTATATACATTGCTGTATAATACAACACAACCGTCAATCAGGCTTAAGCAACTTCAATAAACTGTTTTTTTTTAAGATTTTGTTTTATTGTATAAAACTATAACATTTTTTAGGGAAAAAACAAAAACAATAAAAAAAACTTATTGAAATTTAGTACAAAAACATTATTGGAGTTGAAATGAAGTATTTAATGAATTTGAAATAATGCAAATTTTTTCATTTTTGATCTAAATATATCAAAATCAGGCGTATGATGTATTATAAAGCATATATATTGTATAAAAAGAAAATCAAGATAAAAACAAAAAATTAACTTAATGTTAAAAGGTTTATTATTTTATTATATGTTGGAAACTGGGTTCAGCGTCCCTTGTATAAGAACCGCAGTCATGCGAAGTTGGAAAAAGTATTTTCAATCAATGTTATTTTCAAGTGCACCTAAAATTTGAAAAAAATGATCTAATCTATGATATTATTAAATGGGTCAAAACTAATAAAAAAATATTCAAAATTATTCAAGTACTAGCTAGTACTAATTATCATTAAAAATAATCGGTATTTAAAATTATTCAATTTCTATCTATTATTTAATTTTATTTATTGTCGATTCGGCATTAAGAAACGACTACAGTTGCAAAAAATTCAATTTTAAAACAAGTTCAATTCTCGTGTATTGTACAATTTACATTTAGAATCACTCAACTTCTATCTATTACTTAATTTTATGCACTGTGGATTGGGCATTAAGAAACGAACATAGCTGCAAAAAATTCAATTTTTGAACAAGTTCATGTTTTCTGTACTGTACTTCCTAGGAACTAATGAAAATGCTATCACTGAATGCCTGAATAGAGTAATGAGTTGACGGTCAATGCCAAGATAAGCAACTTAATTCTATAAAGCCAGTCGAAATCCCATACAAATTTTGATTCAGTACTTTTACAAGAAAGTAGTATGTTTAGCGTTTTTAGAAGGAAGTATTTTGTTTTGTAAATAGATATAGAATTGAAGAATCACGTTTATATAAATTAATGTACAGGGAGTAATTTAGTTAGCATCAAGTAATGTATTTTTTTAGGGGAAAAAAAAAATTATAATTTTTAATTATTTGAAAGTAATGTAAGAAATTTTATATTATGGTAAATAGAAAATGAAGAAAAATATAAGGAAGAGAAAAATGGATTGCAGTTTTTATACTAATTAAGAAATTTATATAAGCGATCGAATTTTTATTTATTTTTATTATTAGAAAAATGAGGTGTATTTGGTCGAAGTGGTAATGTATGGATAGGAAGAGGTTGTGGTATCCTGTGTTGGAAATCAGCATCGAATGTTAGTCTTGGAGGTTCTAATAATTTGTGGTAATTAGAAGTATAATAGAATGTCACAGTTGTTGTTATTAGTAGAATGTCATAGTTTTCATCATAATCATACACTGCGATTGTTCGTAGTAATGAAATTATATCTTTGTATGTATCTATATATTTTGTACTAAGCGCTGCATGGATGTCCTTGACAGTTTCTTGTTGATCTGTATCTGCCAAATACAATGTAACCATGTTTTGTTGTCCTCTCCGCCATCTGTGATGATATACTAGAAGTTCAGTTTCCACAATTGGCATTGGCTGATACATAGAAAAAAATTGAAGATATCGTTCGAGTTCGATTGTTCTCTTATGATGTATGCATCCTCCATGTCGTGTTTCGGATTCCATATAGCCGCTTGGTATTGATAGTTTTGTTGAAGTTGTATTTGATCTGTCATGAAATATAACAAAAGAAATCGAGTTATTTTATAGTTATAATACAGGAAAAGAAATATAACATTGTGTATAATTATTTTATATGGAATTGAAAATATGATATTTTGTATGTCATAAGCTATGTATTATATTGTTATAATTTAATTTAAAATATATGTAAAAGCGAATGATGCATTGAAAGCTATAAGGGATGTAGAAATGAATCTGTGATGAGTAGTATTAGTTAATAGAAGTCTTGTTCTGGGATGAGGAGCATCAAGAATATAAATAATGTCGTCTATAATTGCAATATGAAAATTTAAAGAATTTATACCTGTTAGGAAGATATATAAAGAAATAGAAGTTGTAGAGTGATAAGCAAAATAAAATAGTACAATACCTTCTTCATTGATTTCTATTGTATGATGAAGATTATATTGTTCTAAGTATGTGCAAAGATTATTGAAAGATCGGTGAGTGATCGCTAGAATATATAAGCGACGAATAAAAACAAGCACCTGCAAAAAAAATATACGACATGGAGAAACAAGAATTAAATGAAAGTATCATTATTGAAAAAAATGATCGTATAAGATGATATTTTTGAAAATATTT